TGATAGACAACCTCTGAGTCAAAACAGACAAACAAAAATATCAAAAAACTAGAAATAACTGATGTCTGAGAAGATATATGACAGCTGAGAATGTAGGATGGGCAGACCAAGGAGTAAATAGCTCTTAAGGTGCTTGATAGAGCATCACTCGTGCTTAACTTGTCTACTAGAAATTGTTTTACTTCCTCAGCTTATTTTGAGATTACAGCTGCATGACCTTTCAGCTATAGGCTTGTCTTGGCCCTGTCCTTGAACCAGTTCTTATCTGTGTCCAAAATGAGTTATTCTCTCGCTTAGCACTGAGGCATCTTTATTGCTTGCCCATTAGCCTTATACTAATAGAGTTTCTTGACATCATATATCTGAGCCAGAGTCTTCATAATTTCAACAGTGCCTCAGTTTTTGTAGGTTTCTTTTTTTTTTCTTTTTTTTCTTTTTTCTTTTTTTTGGTGGTTTGCCTTGCTTTTGCAGTCCTGATGGCAGAGTTTTTCATCATAGGGCCTACTACCTACTGATAGACCAGCTTCATTCTGACAATTTTGCTTGTCTAGATTTGCAAATATCTGGGAATCCTCATTACTATCTTCCACTCTCTAGTTAGAATATTAACTCTTTCAGATCTCTTGCCAGCCAGGTGTTAGAATATCACCCACTATACAAAAGAACATCTAAGTTTAGCAATGATAAGATGAGAGACAGAAATCCTTTAATGAAGGGCAATACTAAAATATGTCTACTGTAAGAAATGTTATGAATAGCTATGATTGTGGAAACTATACCAGAACAGCTGTGAACTACTCACAAGTAGGCACACAATAGAAAGAGTTCCTGCCTGATTAATCACTCTCCAAACAGATTGCGAAGCCCAGAGGCTTCTTTGTCAGGCAGAACAACATGTCCCTCTGGCAGGATCTAGACTGCAGTGAAAACACCAAAGCAGACCACGTGGTTGAACCTCTGCATCTGCCCTGAAGTGAACCATGGCTTTGAGAAAAGGTAGAACAGAGCCGAGAATGAGGATAGTCATGAGAATTCATGTTTGCAAAAGGCCAGGTACTGTGTATCATTTTATTTAATAGTCACAAAACCTTACAAGATAGAATTATACCAGGCATTGTGCATTCCTCAAAACATTAGAGCGAAAGTACTTGTGAAATAATAAGAAATATATGTATTAGTCTCTGCCCCTGTTCCCTGACACAGAGCTCCTAAAACCCTTATAAATAGGGAATCCAGGAGAATCTTTTGTGGCAGTGTTTAGTTTTTGACCCTGGTTTCTGACACAGAGCTCCCAAGACCTTTGTAAATTCTTAAGGGAAAATTCAATTTTACGTGAATTACTTCAACAGGAAAGAACTTTCAATTTTCCTGTGAATTTATTACATTTCTTTATAATGTGTAGTTCTTAGACCATTGCTATAATGAATTTCTCCATTAAGCTCTGATTCTGCTTTAAGAGACTTCAGGTCTCTTAAAGCTATAGACTATGCTCTAATCATTACTGTGTTCTCAGTAATTGTGACCATCTCAGGTACTCAGAGGTTGTTCAATAAATATTTGAAGAATAAATGAAAAAAATGGACAAAAAAATGAACGAGAGGCAGTACAGAACAATTAAGTACAATTTGGGGGCCAAATAGGAGCCAGCTCTGACATGTGAGTTTGGGTAAGACATTGAACCCCTTTAAACCTAAATGGCCTAATATACAAAATTTATAAAACTAGGAAAATAATACTACCTAACCCACAGGGGGTAATAAGGATTAAATAATACATATAGCACACATAACAATTCCTGGCATATAGAAAGTGTTCATCAAGTATTGTTGCTTTTTATTTTTATGAATGGGGATAATTTAGCTCAAGTGGCAAATATATTGCAGACAGCAGATTGAACAAACATTACTGAACGGGTAGGGTTCTTTGGAAGAGGAATTCAAAGCTTTCCTTGGGAATAAAAAGGAAGATAAGCTGGAAAATAGATGAAATCTGGCAAGGTCATCTGAGGCTTTGCACTTTATCACCCACTATCACCGTTCAATGCCATTTTTAAGCAGCCCATTGGAAATGGCATTGAGTTGAGACATTGCTTTTTGGCCCAAACAGCCAAGGTTGTTCTTTGGTGTCAAAGTAAGCCAAACAGGAACAACTCTGAATTTGTCTCAAATAATACTCCGCTCTCTAAACAGTTCTGACATTAAGCATTTCAGAAATTTGATCTTTATGAGAACCTAATAGAGATATGCAACATTTTGTTCCTTTATTTTCTCTCTAAATATAATGGTTAAACTTTCCAGAGCCACTGGATCATGTTTCTCTGGCCTAATTGCCAAAATTAGGTCGCAAGTCATTTATGCCAAATCTTCTCAACCATTTTACATCTCCGAGCTGCATTTACAATGATAGGAACATTTATAGCTACTCTCTAGTCTAAATACTTTTTAAACCTAAATCATTCAAAGTTAATAACAACTACACCAACTAAGAAATGAGCAACAAAACTTAGGTTTCATTTTCTCCATTTCTTTCCTCTTAACTATGAATCAACAACATTTATTTTGTATTAAGTATATATTCATTTTCTTCTTTTCACTCATCTCTGTCTGACAATAGTCACAGCTATTCATACTCTGAGAATTTCTATGGCAGAATGTTCTCAATTACATCCTGATGAAAATGGGATGTGTCTGGCTTTGGCAATGGGTCAAGTGCAAGTTTACAAATGTAAAAATGTAATTAGTGAACAACATTATATTGTAGGACAATGTTTCTCAGCACCATTGCAAGTAATCATTTTTTTTTAAATGGCTTTCCCTTAAAACACACACACGTACACACATACATTTCAGGAACTAGTCAGCTCTTCATGAGTATTTTTCCCTTTTTAAATAAAGGATACCCTTTTCCATGTTTCATTATCTATTAGGTGTCTTAAGATCATAGAGATACTACACTGACTAAAGAAACCACCCCCCCTACTCCAATCCAAAGTACCACAGTCCATTAGCAAGCCTACATTCACCAGTGGAGTGAGTCTCACTTAAAGGTCAGCTACATTATGCTCTATAAATATCACTGTAACACTACATAATATAGAGCAAATAAGTTGCTTCTAAACCCATGTATTAGCTCTTAAAATATAACTCTCATTAATAAAATCTATATTCAGTGAGTCAGTAAAACGATCACAAAAGTGAGGGGAAAATTTCTCAATATAAAGAGGTATACGGCATTGTGAATAAAAGCAACAAATACTATGGTTTGATTAAATTTTCAGCTTTCCAGAAATTTTTGTGTCACAAAATTAAAAAGTCCTTGACTTTTAATTATCTTCAATAATGAATAATTATCTTCAATAGGAAACATGACCAGACACAATTGACTATAAATGAGGTAATAAATGAGAATATTTAAAATTTGTTTAAATTAGATGCAGACATACACAAATCTTTGCCCACTCACATTTACTGATTGGCCCTTACCACAACTCATTCTTCTACTCCCAACAATTTGCACTTGGGCATTACTGACATGCTCAGAGTTTTTCCTCCTATGCCCTTTTCCCTGGACCAACTCAACACACTTAGGCATTGCACAAACAGAATTCTGTCATGCCTTCTCTACTCCACTAGCACCTCCTAAAATTCAACTGTCAAACTAGACATTAAATGGACAATTGGAAGATGCAAATGCTTAGTGTTCTGCAACTTAAATAAAGCAATTGTATTTAATCTGGGATTTTTATATAAATATTATTCAGATCCAGAGGCCTTTAATTAGCATGCTTTCATTTGATAGTTCAGAAAACTGAAGCTCATAAAGATGTTAGGTAGCAGTGCCTCACAAGAGCATGTAGTAATAATTTAGAAATATTGAATAAATAGTATTTCTCTAAGTATTAATAAGAGCAGGTTGACAAAAGTATCCCGATAAAAGAGCTGTCCTCCAAGATCAATTAATAATCTATTTCCCTAAGGTGTTTGGAAACATACAAATCCAGTTAATTCTACGTGCAACTTTAAATGAATAATAATAATAAATTTTGAAGCTAGAATGGAGTATTACTATATGTTAAGCTCAATTCTAAATACTTTTTATTAATTTATTCAACTTTCATAACGCCCTTAAGTGGTAGGTATTATTATCTTCCCCTTCTCACACAGGTGGAACCAAGGCACAGATGGTAAAGTTGCCCAGTTCTCAAAGTCAGCCGGTGAGGCTGTCTGCTTCAGAATCCACACTCTTAACTGCCATAATAAGACATACGTGGCATCAGTAGATGACTTTTATTCTTTAAATCCACAAACACCAAAAAGAATAACTACTCTAAGGATTAGACACTGATCAGGAATTGTCATATGATGTCTCTGTTAAATATGAGAATTTATCACATCACTATCAGAAAAGTAATCTAAGAACAAGAAGAATACATGTAAGGCCATATAGCTGAGGAAACCAGTAAGTACATTTGTGGCATGTAAGAGAAGAAAAGGTCTGCCTCATTTAGAAAGGTCAAGAGATTTCACCTCTCATAATTATCAAGATAGTAAAGAGGGATATATAGAAACTGCTAAAACTATATCTAGCATGTGGTTATTTGAAAAACACTTATTACAATACAAATGAATCCTTACATTTAAAGAAGAGAAACAGAAATCCAGATGAGAGGTCACCCACAAAATATCTGTCCCTGTTGATACAGTATCAAGCAAAGGAAACATGACCAGACACTGATGCTCACAGCTCGTGGTCTGCACTCTGCAATAGCTCCAGCCACAGCTGGTTGCACTTGTAAGCAAGTCTTTTTTCTCTGACCAAGCTGTGAAGAGCTATGAAGAGCCTGAGACATTATATTGCAAGAGATGTCCTTGTTAGCTAGGTTAGGTTTTTCTGGCTTCTTCAGAAATATTGAGAAAGAAAACATTTCATTTTGCCCTCCCAAATCTCTCCCGTTACTTGTCCATTCCTTTCTCAATACCCAGTGAACTCCTACTGCTTACTTGGGATAATTTCTAGATTGAATGAAGGGCAGAATCTCGGAGTCTTGACTAGATGGAGGAAGTAGTAAATCTCGAAATCGTTCTGTCAAAGGAAAAATAAACATGAAGCTTTAAAAAGAGTCATGAAAATAATTTCTAAATAGAATTAATTCCTATTTTTTAATTTGTTCACTCTTTTTACTGTATACCTTTTATTAGAAATTTACCCACCATTTTCTATATTACTAAAATAAATATTAAAATAGGAAGCATTCATTAGTATAAACTAATAAAATATTAAAATTGAAAGATGAGAGGAAATATATATAACCAATAAATATACGAAGAGATGCACAATCTCATTAGTAACCTGGGAAATGCAAATCAAAATCATATACCACTGGATAGTATTCACATTACGTGGCATGCAATTGACAGAAATTAATCTCACAAGACCAAGTGTTAGAGAGAAATGTGGATCAATATAAGCTTTTATATATTTCTGGTGAGAATACATGTTGGTACAATAGCTTTGGAAAGCAATTTGGCATTATTTTTTAAGTTTAACCTTTACATATCTTATGAGCCAATATTTTTATTACCAGATATATATTCTGCAGAAACTTTTATATATATATCTCAGGAAGCAAATAAAAAATGTTCATAGCAGCATTGTTCATGACAACAAAAATATAAACAACTCAATTGCCCAACAACAGGTGAATGGAAAATTTACAGTAGAGTCACAAAATGGAATATTAATTAAAATGAAATTGAATGAATTCAGTTACAAATAAAAACATAGTTAATCATATTAGTATGATGTTAAGTGGGAAAAATACCAGCAGATTACATATATAAGAACATCACTTTTTGTTGAGTTAAAAAAAAAAAACTAAGCAATATATTGTTTAGGTATGTTATATATGAAACAAAGCAAACCAATGTAAAAGAAGAAAGGAATAGTATACAGGATTCAGGATAATAGCTATCTTTTAGGAAGAGTGAGGAGATGAAAAAGAAGAAAAATAAAAAGGTAGGTGTAAGTGTTAATATTTCACATGTATTAATTATAGCATCATGCATAAGTGAATGAATGAGTGAATGAAGGGCAGGAACTGTCCAATGATGATATTAGCCCATAAAATTCTGTGTTCGTGAAGTTCGTAATGGTGGAAGGAGAGAGGAAAGGAGAGAGAAAAAAGCTGAAAGGGAAGAAGGAAGAGAGGGAAGAAAGGAAACGAGGATGCAAGGGAGGGAGGGGAAAGGAAATGGGAAAAAATTAGAAGGAAAAGAGGATTGCAGAGGAAAGAAGAATCCTAGTTCTACCTTAGAAACAGTTGTACTGTACAGCCATCTGCACTGCATAGTCTATCACTCTAATATGGATCCAGTATTTCCAGGACTAGATATTCAACCTCTGAGGTCATTCCTATGTGAAGGCTTCTTGATTCCTGCTCTTTCTTTCTCTCCTCCTACCAAATATGAAATAGATGGCCCTACTGTGTATTCCTAGTATACTCTGTGGTTTCACTGTCACAGAATTTATCACACTACATTTTATTGTTGTATGGTAGATATATATTCTAGTAGATGGGTATAGTGTCACCAGGATATAGAACATTGATACATATTAAGGTAATAGATAAATATTAGTTGAAAGAATATTTCCAATATCTATTTTTGCTGAACATAAAAACTGTTTGCCAAGATTAATCATAATGCCTTTGGAAGAGCCCAACTGGTCATCTATCAACCATAAAAAGCAAGGGGTCCTGTATTCCAGCCTTGACAGAGTCCCACCATCAGGCTGAGACAGAGTGTAAAGCTGAAACTCCATGCCTCAGTAAGTACATCATTAACTGAAGGTGAGCAATTTCCACAAAACACTGAAAATCTATGCTTGATGGCAATACCTATTTCCTAGTTCCTGAATAGCTAGATGTTAAATACTTATTAAAACATATTGAACAGAGATATTTAATTGAATTTCTCTGCTTTTTGTTTTTACCAGACAGTTCTTATAATACACTTGGGGAGGACTAAGAAGATCCAAACAGAGAGGTGGTTGTACTCTAGAATCCACAGATCCAAGAAAACACAATTTATTTTTCTCCTTTAAGTACACTTACTCTTTAATTTGAGTTCATTTTTTTAATTTAATTATGTTATTGACTAATATACTGCAATTTTTAATCAATGGAATGTTCATTTCAATGAAATGTCTATTAAATTCCTCTGATGATATGACCCTTGCTTTTCAGTCTACTTTCCAATTTATGTAGCATCCCATTAAATGAGTGATTTGTAATGTTTCTCCTTTCCTCTTTCCTCCTCCATTTATTCCTTTCTTAAAAACAGTCCTGAAAAATAAAGCTTAAACCCCAAGAGCAAATGTGATGAACTTTACACATCAAGTAAAGAACTGTTCAAACAGTTATAATAAATATGATATGTCTTTGGGTACTAAAAATTGATATAAATTAAAATTTTATTGAATGTTTCCTAAACTGATTTAAATGCAAAGAAAAATAAAAATTCTTAATGTGAAAACTATAATATAATACAGCTATAGGTTTTTCCCTATTTATGTAATAAAAAAGAATATTTTATTGTAAATGTGAAAGAAAATCTCTAAAGATGACATTGCATTGATAGGACTAAATAAAACAAAGTCAACAAAAACACACCACACACACACACACACACACACACACACACACACACACACACACACACACACAAAGAGAGAACAAATGTAGCATATAAAAGATCACTTATAAAGCTACCCAAACTATGAATTCTGTAATTAATATTCCTACATTTGGAGCATTCTTTAATCTGAAAATTGTAAATGCAAGGAATACCAAGAGAACATGAAGACACTCGAGCAGCTATCATACTGTGAAAAATAATTTTCACATATATAAAAAACAGAAAATATAAACAGTACCTTAAAAATGTCTTTTAAAATTTCTATTTTATCATCATATTCATAAATTCCTAAATGTATACAATTAACTTTATCCCAGAAAAGTATGATTGTTTTTTCTTTATGAGAATAAAAATAAATGATTAAAGTAATCCTTAGAAAAATCTAAGTAAATGAAAAATTGTTTATAATTCTCACATTATTCCTCTAGTTTCCCAGATTTCTGCCTATCTACTAGTGAGTAAATATCACATTTTTTATCTGATAACTGGGAAAAACAGCCAAATGTATTGATGTTTCCTTTGTTATGTAGCAAAAATTTTTAAATAATAATTGTTCTCTTGCAGCAAAGTGTCACACCAGATGATTTACTTTCTCAGTAGGCCCAAAGTCTATTTCTTAAGACAATGGTAGTTATCCAAATAATAGAACTCAGTTCTGTCACAGGGCTTCTTAGAATAAATACATTAAAGCCACTGGGGGGGAAAAAAAAAAAAAAGAGGATTTTCTGCAAAGTGATATTCTGATGAGCTGACTAATGATGTGATAATGTCTGGACATAAGTTTCTGCCAGTAGGGGATATATCTTAATTAACACAAGCTTTTGTAGACTTCCACCCACTCTTCCTTTCTTCCATTCAATCAACAAAAAGATTCTGAGACTACCAGACCTGGATGACATACTAAACAAAATTACATTAATTTGGGTTAGCTGTACAGTCAGTTGTAAGACAATATACTTAATTACTTAAAAACAAAGGTGAAGAAAATAAAATACTCTTTCCAATTTTAATTAAAACTTTTTTGTACAAATACTGTCACAAGTTTTGTATTTTCCACTTTGTGGAAATGGCCAATTTGTAATCCTCACCAATATACAGAATGTAACAAATGTGATAGAGACTTGCACAACAACGAAAAAAATGATATGCAAATGTATTCCTGGAATGAGAATAAAGTAAAATCTCCCTTCCACTATTAAAAAAAAAGAGAGAGAGAGAAAGGAAAATAAATAAATAAAGATAGAATAGAAATATAAAGGTGATGCTGATTATGGTATTCTTTTAAAACCTAAAAGTACTTTGCATTTAGATGTGATCACAGGCATCTTTAACAAGAACTTAAGAAATTGTTTGCTGGAGGGATTCTGTCAAGGTTTTACCAACTCCAAATCATTATTTCCTTCCAGGTAAATACTTTCCTTTACCTCTTTATAGTCTCCAATATGAAAATTAATATTTTAACTACTTGAGTACTAGATTATAATGGGCAAGGAAAGAAAACCAGATAAAACATCTCTAAAGGGTGACAATGTTGCTCTAAAAAACTTAAAAGAAGTTCTTGATATTTTTATTAATAGATACCAAACTTTCTCCTCTTTCTCTTGATGCTCATATTATACTATTTGCAAGTTTTAATTATTTTTTCTCCAAAAGCACAGAAACAAAATCCTTAAGGCACATGAAGCAGACCCACTAAAGACTTAACCTCAGCTTTTACAAAATAGCTAGTATAATGTAAGAGTATAGGAAGCTATGGAATAAATGTTGCAAAGATTTAGACACTATTCTCATATTCAGAACTAAAACAAGATCAGTATGTGATTACACTATAATATTTATATGATTTTATAAGAAACACAGAGTATCTCATAATATAGGCAGTATTATAACTGAGTTCACATGAGAAAGGGTATACCACAAAACAAATCTTTCTTTACTTACACAGTTTGTAGTACTTAGAAGCAATAGGCTATAACAGAAGACTCCAAGTTGGTTGTCAGAAAGTCCTTTACCAATTTCTGTCTCTGTTCTAAATTCCTTTTTTCAAATGATCAATGAGTCAGTCCGCTGATTGTAGCCACCTTTCAACTTTGAATCCCTTAAAGAATATACTGCTAAGGACAGGAAGAGAAGCTTGCCAAAGTCACTGATAGGGAGGGTGGTCATATATCTTGGTTTGCCTGGGACAGTTCTGGTTTATGCTTGTTAACATCTTGATTAATTTAATACTTGTCTCAGAATTTTATTTTTAATTATACATTACTAATAAAATGTGCTGGGGTGCTAAGCTTGATACACAGGACCACCTTCTGCCCCTGTGCCCTAAATTCTGCTTCTATGAAGTACTTGTCCAGCTGTGGAGAGTGCAGTCAGCATGTAGCCTCTAGC